GTGTCTACGCCACAGTCCCCCAGCTTCCTAATGAGAATGGGGTGAGAGACAGTGTCAAAAGCCTTCCTGAAGTCCAGGAAAACTATATCCACTGCCACCCCTGCATCCAATGATTTAGTGACCTGGTCGTAAAAGGCCACCAGGTTGGTCTGACAGGACCTGCCGCTGATGAACCCGTGCTGGTTGCCCCTGAGCATGCAGTTCCCTGCTGGCCCCTCCTGGATGTGTGCGAGAATAATTTTCTCGAACAGCTTGCCCAGGATCAAGGTAAGAACAGAATATGTGGGTTCCTGACTCCCAGGTGAACTCATAGGGATTTAAGAGCCTAAATAGGAGTTAGGTATCTGTACATCTTTGAGCACTTGGGCTTAAATCTTGTTGTGCCTCACTTCATCACCTGTAAAGCAGGGATAAGTAGCATTTCCCTGTTTCTCAGAGTGTTATGAGGGTAACTGCTCTGTGAAGTGTTCTGATATTACAGTAATGGCGACTGTACAAATATCATAGGCCAGTTGTCTTCCCTCACATCTGTTTTTATTTGTGTTGTATTTATTTGTGTTGTATTAATTGGCGCAGTTAGATTTGCAGTTGTTTTTTGGCTGATACAATGTTTTATTTTCAGTTGATCTTTTTTTTTCTTGAGGGGGAGATGTAACCATGCTCACTGGAATCGATACACACTGACTCTGCTTCCTGACTGTAGTTTAGTATCTTGCATTCTTGACCTGTGTCATATTGGCCTGGAAATAAAGATCACCTTCTTTCCAAACTTCTTATGTGTATAAATGTACTACAGTGTGAGCTGTGTATTTAACAGGCTTTGGTAATGTAAAGATGCACCCTAACAGCTGGAACACACTACACAAAGAGGAATGCTTTACTGTCTGTCACTAAGCTGGGTGAATGCTTTATTTTAGAAGTATCTCGGCTGCAAAACTGGCTCCAGAGATAACCCCCATGAAAGAAAATCCTCACACTGTAACTCAGCAGATTATTCCCTGCCCAATTTAATACTTCACAAAAAAAAGAAAGAAGGAAAGCCAAAGATCTGTATTTCTGCATTAAAAAATAGCAGTTTATCTCCCTGTGTTCTGCTGGTGTTGGTGTTGCTGTAGTATCTTCTAAGCTTTCTTTCTGTAAGGTAAGGAAAGAAGATTTTATATAGGGTCTTCAAGGACACCACAAGAAGCAGTGTTTTTCTTCTTGGGCCAAATCCTCCTCCCCTCTTGTATGAGAGCAGACCTGCTACAGTTGATGGGAGAGTAGGGCAAACAGGATTCAGCCTGTGGGAAGGTATTTTGTATTTTAAACATGTAGGGCCCCATTTTACATTCAATTATGCAAGGGTTCCTATTGAACACTTCAGTAGGAGGCATGTATGGTGAAGGACTATAAACTGCATTTGTAGTAACTCCAATCCAAGTCCTGCAGCCATGGAAGTAGTGGGGAGAATATGTACTTTTGCTTTTAATTGGTTGAGCTATATTGTACTGCTTGATCTTATGTGCATTGCCCTGTGATTGACTGATCCCAGCATGACCACTACACCACCCTTGGGCTGCTTTATCTCCATGGTACCAGCCACAATGGTTTTACTGGAGCCTGAAGTCTGGGTCACAAACAACTGAGCCTGATTATGTTTTGCAGAAGAAAGAAAATTTAAGAATTGATATGGGTCAGCTCATCATGGAGAAGATTAGTTCCAGTCTCATTGACCTTTGGATTTGTTTAACCTTTTTCCATCTTGGTTTTCTGTTGCAGCATGGTACAGAATGGGCAAGCTCTCAGTGCACAACGTGTTTCTGTGCCAATGGGACGGTTCACTGCACCTCTAAGCTCTGTTCGGCCCTATCTTGTGGCAGCGGGGAACTGGAATATGTCGCGCCAGGAGATTGCTGTCCCAAATGTGTGGGGATTGGTGGTGAGTATGTGAGTGGGATGTCACCTTTGAGTATACTTAAAATGACTCAAGGAGTGGTTTGGGTGCTGCTGTGCTGCTCTCCACCATAGTTTAGCAATTTGTTGGGAACAAATTTTTCACTCTTGAACTTCAATGAGAGGTCATTTCTCCTTTCTCCTTCAGTTCTCCAAAGGAGCAACCTAACAAGAAATACCTCAACATCTCAAGATTCTCTGTTCACTCAGCTAATTTTGGCATGTCTCTCACCCCATCCTAGTTAAAAAACTAGGTGACTGTGGCATCGATGCCTACACAGTCAGATGGATTGCAGATTGGCTGAGGGGTCGCACTCAGAGGGTGGTGGTGGATGGGTCATATTCGACCTGGGGCGAGGTGGGTAGTGGAGTCCCCCAGGGCTCAGTCCTGGGGCCTG